CCCAGCAACAGGCCCCCGGGAGGGAGCACCGAGCAGCCCCCCGCCCCAGCAGACACCAGCCCCGGAGGTGCACCGAGCAGCTCCCCCCAGCAACAGGCCCCCGGGAGGGAGCACCGAGCAGCCCCCCGCCCCAGCAGACACCAGCCCCGGAGGTGCACCGAGCAGCTCCCCCCAGCAACAGGCCCCCGGGACGAAGCACCGAGCAGCCCCCGGGGCAGCGGGACGCCCCCAAACCCTCCCCCGGCTCTCCACCTGGAGCTGGATGGTGCCGCTCCCGCTGGGCTCCCTGCCGCAGCCGGCGCCGCTCGGGAACCGGAGGGCGGAGCCCTGCCCGGCTGGCTCCGCTCACCGGAAACCAGCCCCGGGGAGGGGCGGCGAGGAGGCCGGACGGGCCCGAGGTGGAGCCGCCCCTCACCCCCAAGCCAGGCCCTGCCCGCGGGACAGCCTGCAGGATCGGGGCCCCCGTGGATTGAGGCTAAGCCCGACGCGGCCGCTCCCGGGGAGCCCGAGTCTCGCCTAGCAAATCGGAGTGACTCCGAATCCTGTACCTGCGGCGCGTGTGTGTCTGTGTGTGTGTGTGACACTGCCGAGATGGGCTCCAGCTGCTGTCACCCGCAGCTTGGCCGCCCTTCTATTGACCAGGCACGGGCAGGGCTTATGCTTTTGAAGGACATGGCCACTTCACTTGTTAATGTTGATGCTTGAGTGTCCTGGGACACCCCCTGGGCCTGGGTTGCGGTTAGCAAGGCCTTGTCCAAACCGTAAATGGTACCACTAACTATACCCTCTGCAGCATTAAATCACTCACACACTCTCGTGGGCATGCAGTTCTACATCGCTCTCAAGCCAGCAGCCTTTGGAAACAAGAGTTTTTAAAAGGTTCGGGGAGTTACCAGAGGAAGCAGTCCAGTGTAACAGAGGAGAAAAGAGCTGGCACAAGGCAGAGCCCGAAGGGTTGGAACATCACCTCGAAATGTGACGGATGTGGCAGAGATTGCCTCTTTCGTTCGCATCTGCCTTAAAATCAACGGAGTAAATTCTTTACCTCTCAGGACGCATACCCATGGTCTCTAGAGACTAGGGTGACCAGATAGCAAATGTGAAAAATTGGGACCGGGGGTGGGGAGTAATAGGAACCTATATAAGAAAAAGACCCAAAAATCAGGACTGTCCCTATAAAATCAGGACCTCTGGTCACCCTACTCGAGACTGAAGGATGCCTATTACTACTTATGAGAAAGGAAATAAACTGTACTTGAATAAGGTACCTTAATATCACTCTAACTCAGGGGTGGGCATTGCAAAACTGTATGGAGGGCCGGGTAGGGAAGGCTGTGCCCCTCCAAACAGCCTGGCCCCCGCCCCCTATCTGCTCCCTCACACTTCCCACCCCCGACCCATCCACCCCCCCTGCTCCTTGTCCCCCCAACCACCCCCTCCTGGGATCCCGGCCCCTAACTGCCCCCCCGGATCCCCACCCCCTATCCAACCCCCCCCTGCTCCCTGCCCCGAATCCTATCCACATCCCCACCCCCCGACAGGCCTCCCCCAGGATTCCCACTCCCCGTCCCAACTGTCCACACCCCCTATCCAACCCTCCCCGTTCCCCATCCCCTGACCCCTATCCACACTCCCACCCCAGATAGGCCCCCCCCTGGACTCCCACACCTACTAACCACCCATTCCCAGTCTCCTGACTGCCCCCCCGAACCTCCACCCCATCCAACCACCCCCTGCTCCCTGTCCCCTGATTCCTGGGACCCCCTGCCCCTTATCCAGCCCCCCCCCCCTTACCATACTGCCCGGAGCAGCAGGAGCTTGCAGCCCCGCCGGAGCCAGCCACGCCACCCGCGCTGCCTGGCAAGAGCGGCGGGCCAGAGCGCTGCAGCTGCGGGGGGACGGTGGGGGAGGAACCAGGGACTAGCCTCACCAGCCGGGAGCTCAGGGGCGGGGCAGGACGGTCCCGCGGGCCGTAGTTTGCCCACCTCTGCTCTAACTGCAGCCCCGTTCTTGGTTAAGTATCAGAGGGGTATCTATGTTAGTCTGGATCTGTAAAAAGCAACAGAGGGTTCTGTGGCACCTTTAAGACTAACAGAAGTATTGGGAGCATAAGCTTTCATGGGTAAGAATCTCACTTCTTGTCTTGCATCTGAAGAAGTGAGGTTCTTACCCACGAAAGCTTATGCTTTCCCAATACTTCTGTTAGGCTAGGTCTACACTACCCGCCTGAATCGGCAGGTAGAAATCGACCTCTCGGGGATCGATTTATCTCGTCCCGTCGGGACGCGACAATCGATCCCCAAATCGGCGCTCTTACTCCACCAGTGGAGGTGGGAGTAAGCGCCGCCGACAGAAAGCCGCAGAAGTCGATTTTGCCGCCGTCCTCACAGCGGGGTAAGTCGGCTGCGATACGTCGAATTCAGCTACGCTATTCACGTAGCTGAATTTGCGTATCTTAAATCGACTCCCCCCTGTAGTGTAGATGTACCCTTAGTCTTAAAGGTGCCACAGGATCCTCTGTTGAACATTAGTAGTTGTGCAGGTATAACTGTCAGTATAAATCCACAATCCTAACCAGCGTAGCTGTACCAATACAAAGTGCAGTACACAAAGCAGGCTTTTTCTATACACTTTATCCGCTCTTGGATCTTGTTTTCAGTTGTAATGATCAGATTGATGCATTGGAGAATAGGAGCATAAGCAACTTTTTGGGGGGCAGTGGGGGGGAAGAGGGGAGAGCCTAGAGTTAAAAATATTTATTGAATAGCACTTAAATGAATACTTTTGTTCCATGACTAAATTTGTGCACCTTTAAATAAAGTGAGATCAATAAGCTTCTGTTCCAGACTGTGTCTTATTTATTAATGCAATCACTAAATTTTGAAGGGAGCTGGAGCTCTTCCCCAGCTATCTGCACCCGTGCTTAAGGTTTACTTTGTTATTTTTGATAAATGTCAAGTAACTATACACCTTCTCATTTGTCTCATCTACCCATTAGGTCTTCTTTTTTAGCTCTTTACCATGTTTGCATAGCATCTAGTCCACTGGGGTCCTGACCTCCTTGACAGCTAGGTGCTACTGCAATATAAATGTTAAATACTTTTAAAAATCTGTTTATATTTCAGACCTTCCAATTATCTTCCTGTTACCTATGTACAAAGCAGAACATAAATGAAGAACTATAACAGAACTATCCTCTTAGTGTACTTAGGATAAGGGTGGTCTTTTCAGTATGTACCGGAAAAGGGCCCTTCCTATCATGGCCCAACAGGAAACATAGCCATTTAAAACACCATTGTTTTATTTCCTTCAATCTTGAACTTATTTCCCTACTTAGCTACAGCTTCTGCTTTAGTCAAAGGGCAAACTCCCATTCACTTTAATATGCACAGCATCTCAGTGGCCAAAATGCAACCTTTTTATTTTCAAAAGCCATTCTAATTAATGCAGGGTAGGACTGGATTTTGGAGCAGGCAACTGCCTGGGGTGATGGGTTAGGGGGCACCCGGTTTGGGGTGCTGTTTTTGTTGTTAGCAACAAAAGGGAAAATAGAATGTTGCTACCAAAGAAATGGCGGAAAACTAAGTTGAGCCTGTCTTCAAGGAAACTTGTATTCATCAGAAGAGGAGACCAGTTGGTTAGGAGGGCAGAGATGAAGTGATGGGAAGCTGAGAAGAAAAATTCAAGAGAGGTTTTTTGCTTGCTTGCTGCTCAAGTGTCCATCAAAGAAAGGTTTGGACAAATAAAGCCCACGAAAAGACCTAGGTTTTTTGGTATGACCTTAGTAAGCTGCCGGCAGACAGGAAAACACTCTAACAATTGTGTGGATCTTCACCGGAGGCTGACGCATGGGGAATGTTCGGATGTCAATGATAAAGACCTCCGTGTTGAATTGGACAACATCCGTTACATTTTGCAATATGGGAAGCACTCTCCACTCCAAGTTCTCCCATTCATTCACAATGCAGAGCTGAAGGACACTTTTCCTAATGTGTGGATAGCTCTGGGGATTCTGCTCACGCTGCCGTTCACACTAGTGAGTGGTGAGCACAGCTTTTCAAAGCTCAGGCTAATTAAAACATAGCTTTGATTGACAATGGCTGACAAGAGAATGACATCACTTGCTATTTTATTGCTTGAAAATGCCATTGGCCAGTCTCTGGATCTCTCTGATGCCGTCCTTCAGTTTGGAAGGACAAAGGCGAGAAAAGGGACTTTTGGAACGAAAGGACTACGGTTAACATTCTAAGGGCAGGCCTTCACTACGGGGGGGGGGGGGTGTTTAATTTAAGATACGCAAATTCAACTACGCAAATAGCGTAGCTGAATTCGACCTATCGGAGCCGACTTACCCCGCTGTGAGGACAGCGGCAAAATCGACCTCCACGGCTCCCCGTCGACGGCGCTTACTCCCACCTCCGCTGGTGGAGTAAGAGCGTCGATTCGGGGATCGATTGTCGCGTCCCGACGAGACGCGATAATTCGATCCCCGAGAGATCGATTTCTACCCACCAATTCAGATGGGTAGTGTAGACCTAGCCTAAGACTGTCACCTACAGTAACATTATTTAATACTGACCCACCCAATGTTGGTGCACAGTTCAATTTATTGATGTTAGTACATTTCAGTTATTCTTAAAATTAAAAAGTTTCTATAAGTTTAGAGGAAACAAAATTCCCATAGGAGCTGAGCACCTCAAATCTTTTTAATATATCATTGCAAGACCCCTGTGAGGTAGGAAAGTGCTATTATCCCCATTTTACAGATGAGATACCGAGGCAAATCCATTAAGTGATTTGTTCAGGGTCACACAGGAAATCTGTGGCACCGCAGGGAACTGAATCCAGCTCCCCCAAGACCACCTGTCTTCCCATCTCTATTCAGCAAAGCACTTAAGCACAAATTTAAGTCCCATTAATTTTAATAGGCTATTCGATAGATATTTTACATTTACAGCCTAAAGGGAAGTTAGTCCAAATCCTGCATTGTCTTAATCCTATAATAGCATTAAAATTCAGAATTACATTTGATAAGCCATCCTATTGTGCCTAGATATTGGTGCACAAACAAAAATTGCAAGATCTACCACTGTTAGAAACCCTGGTTCAATTCAATGTTCATTTTTTGAGGGCTGCTTATTTAAATTATGTAAGATATTTTCTTTGCAGGCTGCCATGTTGATATTTGCAAAGAATCACCTACCTTCAATTAGTTTTCAGTCTTCATTACAAAAAACTAGGAACACACTATTAGCTTCAATTTTTATTTTACCCAGCCCCTTTTTTATACAGGTTATTTACATTATTTTACAATCAGAATTCAAATATTCAATTTTCATAGTATATTAATCCATTTTCTGTCTTATATTCAAGATAGTTGTAGCCCTTTACAAAACATACATAACCATAACAAAAACAGTCTCATAACAGGACAAATTAACTTTTCTGTAGTGAAAATAAAAATTATTACACACATACAGGTAGATAGCATTTGGAACATCTACTCTGGTTGTTTATTAAGGATGCAGTGCAATGCTCATTAAAGTAAATGAGTGTTGGACTAAACCTTAATTTCTCCCTGTTATACAACCATGGGGCTAATCTGAAGCCAATAGGAGTCTTTCCATTGTCTTCAGTGGGCTACAGAACAGGCCCCATCTGAAAATTTTACTTTGAGCAAGTCTTGAAATGGTAATTCTTCACACTCATAGTATTTATTACTGGAGACTAACAGATACAGACAAAATAGTTATTCTTTGGGTAATATTTTGATCTATTAATTTGAATAGAAGTAAGACCTTTCCAAAATCTTTTTATAATTCCCTTTCCCCAAAAAATATTTCTCTTAGACAGACAATCTCAACAACAGCATTGCATCTAAGGGACACTGGCATATTAAAATGTTTTAAAGAAACAACTGTATCAATGTTTCACGCAAGATGATTAAAACAAAGAATTTTTAAAATGTAGCGGTGAAAATTTTTCTTTTCACCATGTATGTTATTTACTTTTTTTGTTTCACAAGGCTTTGATGATTAAAGTATATTAGACTGTTTCATTTTCTGATTTTACTGCACTATTATAAGTAAATGGTTTCACTGCAGGAGAATGGCTGAATCCAAGCAAAAAGCCATCTTTTCACTGAATTCTAAGTATTTATAAAATCTCTGTCGAGTTTTGTAAAACTTAAATTCTGGGCCCGAAGTACGTGACATATCACTTTATAGCTAAAACCAATGAAGAAACAGTGAGTGTAGAGCGAACACTACTTTTTCCCATTTATTCAAGCTCTTCAATACTGAAAAGAACATCTGAAAAATACTTGCAGTTATTAGTGAATAGAGCAGATGCTATATCAGCTCTTTTGACTGAAAATTACCCTCTCATATTTTAAGCATGGAATGTTCTCTTAGAAAAGCACCTGCAATCATATGTGAAATAAAAATGCCAAGCTAGATGAGTCTCTCTCGGGAGTAGTCCTTGACTTGTCTACTAAGAATAAATCACTATTAGTTTATCTTCATTTTTAGATACTTATTCATTCTTTTTACTAGATGAGTGTTGTCTCATTTGTAATGGGAAACTGCTATATGAAAACAATTCTTAATTGTTGCCCTAAACTAAGTTGAACTCTACTAGAACATTGGTTCCATTACAAATGGCTCAATTTTTAAATATTTACACCTCAGAATTTAAAATGATTTAACCAACCTGTAGATGATTCACCTTCTGCAAAATAAGCCTAGATAACATTTTAGTCTATATTTTGAATTTACCAGCAATTTAATGTCATTTTAAGAAAGCAAAATCTTAGTTTGTCTTTTAATATAAGAACTATATTAGTTTCCAAGATGAAATAAACAAACTATAAGGATTCACTACCCACAAGAATACAAGTTCCTTTATTTTACCAAAACAGCTAAATTGTTTAAAAGTTACTGTAACAGATGCAGGCCTTTATAACTTTTAGCGTCCTTACAATTCTCTATTGCTTTATTAGAATCCTCTGAATATTTCATTCTAAACCTTGCTGCTAACATTGGAGATTTTTTGTTGCAGTGCAAATTTCCAATCTAGAGGTGTTATCCATTTGAAAGTGTAAATTGCACCAGCGCAAACGTCGTTTTATACGTGTGTAGCTACATCAATGCAGAAATACCTAATGCAGGCAGACCCTGAGAAGGAAAGCCCTACTACAGAAGTATCTCTCTAGAAGAGGCTGATTCCTAAGGGCTGTCTACACTTAAAAAGCTGCACCACTGTAAAACTTCAGTGAAGACGCGACCTATGCCAACAGGAGGGCTTTCCCGTCGCGTAGGTAATCCACCTCCCCAAGAGGCAGTAGCTATGTCAACGGGAAAAGCCCTCCCAGGGAGGTAGGTCAGTATAACTGTGTTGCTCAGAGGTGTGCATTTTCCACACCCCTAAGCGACGTAGTTATAATCAATACGTTTCTAGTGTAAACCAAGCCTCAGTCAAGTCTCGATGTCCCATTAAGTCCAACTAATGCTGAGCTGTAACACATTAGGGACTATTCTCTGACACTTAAAATGCATTTGTAACTTAACAGGAAGAGAGAGAAATCTCTCAGATTGCAGGCAGTGGTATGATAAGCAGTGAATTTCATATGTAGCATAGTTCGCACTATAAGTATCCATCACTGCTACAAATCTGAGATGTAATCAACTATTTGCTGTCTGGAATGCAAAGAGGAAGAAGGCAAGCTAATTCTCAGCACTCCCAAGGGTCTGATTCAGAAGTTCCCTCTGACACATGACCCCAAATGTAGCTCTTTGTACACTAAGCTATGTGGATGTTATCTGATTCCTAGCTAATGCCTTTCCTAAATGGGAAATCTTTTCTAACCATTGCAGGCGATCTTAAAAATACTACATCAGAATCCACTTTTAAAAATGTATATAGACAGACCAAGAATGACTTCAGAAGAGCAGCAGCAATTATTTTGTGTCAAGAGAATTTTATATATCTGTTTTTGTTGGGTTTTTTTTTTTGTTAAATAGTACTGTTAAAAGCAGCACCCAAAACTACAAGAACCAAAAGAATTGTCTTGCTTATTGCAGTTGAAGTTGAAGTTAGTTCCATTTAGAGTTACAGGCAAAACTGTCTCTAAATGGCCCCATTATGCTTCAGGAATGCAGCACAAGGAGTATTCAAGATGGAGCAGCAGGTTAAAGAACAAGAGTAAGTATTGAGTCAATCTCCTTGCTTTGGGGAGCGAAGATAAAAGATGTTATATGAAGATAAAATTTTGTCTACGAACATGAAATTGTTATTCTTGTATGTTCAAGATCTCCAAAGTACAAATCAGAAATTTTCACTTAAAAAAAGCTAAGCCTGAAATATCTACCCCCTTTAGTTTCACACAGCAAGTCACTGCTATTTATAGTCATGTTAAAAAAAATATTATTTGTACTATCAAATTATAGAAAAAATGTTCAGGATATTAAAAAAAATCATCCAACAAACTCTGATCTGTACCCATGAAAGTGTGTAAAACAGTAATCTGAAAATTATCAGGGGCTGTTCTAATAAAGCCTCATGCTACAGTATCCTTACACCTTCCAGTGCTGTACGGTTAGGTAATATTACATGAGTCAAATAATCTCTGTGCTACTGTCTGTACATAATGGTCCACCTTTTGGTTAAACTTAAATAAAGAGAAGGATGATTTTATTTAAACACATTTTAAATAATGCACAAATAATTTAACTGCCAACAGTACTAGACACTGTTAAAGCATAATGATTTTTTTCCCCACATAAGAACTCTACAATATAATCCCATTTTTATAGTACATTTTTTTACAAGGCATTTGAATTCTGCATTTACATAAACACCACTCTTTACAGTTTAAAGTCATTGTTGGAAAGTTACAGTTTCAGCAGGAATTAGTTGTGTCTTTGTTTTAAAAGTTCATCTATTTGAGTCTTGTACATATTTTTCACATCTTCAAGATCCAGTCGAAGTTCTTCGGCCTCTTCTGCTTTCTCGCCATACATCTGAAGAATAGTATTGTATCTTTGATCCAAATCCTAGAATAACATGGGCTTTTGGTTATTTGGCCATTTCCCCAATTTAAAAGCAATGCCACAAATCTGTTTTCATTCTTTGTCTAACACATTGCCTATAGTGCTTTAAATATTAAAAAAACTGAAAAGTTAAACTAATGCTAACCCCATATGAACACATACTGCATCGTGTCCTGAATATTGCTAAATGTGTGCTCTTGGGAACCGTGAAAGGAAGCAAATTCCAAAGGCAGGATTTTTAACTACAAAGAGCAATAGCATAAATCTTCAAGTCAGTTTCAGCTGCTGTGGTAGGGTATAGGGTGAGGGGGTAACATTTTCATAAATGACTCTGGCTTTAATGACTCTCTCTATAGAAAATAGGCACTTTTTGCAAGTTTTCCCTGATATATCAGATAACAGGCCCCAGACCTCTCTGGGTTTTACAGAAGACCACTAAGATCTTGAAATATAACTGAAGGCTTAAACACAGAGGTTGGCTGCTCATAGCATTCCATTCAGCAGGTTGGCAGCTGCAGTTTCTATATGAATTTTAAAGTAAAATAATCTGGAAAGATCCACAAATCATCATCTAATGAAAGGGCATCTACTTCATGACTCAGGTCACTTTAAATTATAATATTCTATTTTAGCTCTCTCTCTCTCACACCCCAGATTTTACAAGCACTTGTACACATGAAAGCCTAAAACAGTTTCAGAAGCATTTTTCCTTCATTTTTGCATAGTACAAAGCAGTCTGAAAGTTGTGCAATTGTTAATGTTCATAACTTAAGATGAGTCAAGGAGCGAACATTCAGCAAACCATCACTAGATTTTGTTGTAGGAAGAAGCTCAGCGTCAAAAACTTTCTGGTTTGAAAATTTAACATGCTGCCTGTATAAAAAAAGAATGAATACTTTTCCAGAATGAGATAATTGCAATTCAAATGATTTGCATGTGTTATTTCTCTTTTAAAAAAAAGAGAAAAAAAAAGACCCAAGAAGTTAAGTAATAAAAGTGGATTAAAATCTGCAATATTTATTTTATTAATTCCACCAGTATAATGATCAGATGGGATCATAAACCTTTTCTGTGACAGGTTATGTTTTGCTAAACTCATAAGAATTGGAGTATTCCATATGCTGACTCTCAAGGCATCCAATTCACTCAAAAATTATGAGCTCCAGGCCAGATGTTCAGAATGCTCCGAGCACAAAAATATGCACACCTAATTTGTATATACAATTATACATACAATTATGACAACTGTATGTGCAAGTGACTATATGCCTATGAAGTGGTCATTTACACATGCAGTTACACTGATGATGTGGAATATTTTAGTATTCCTGACAGTGGGCATAATTCTGAAAATATGGCTGTGTATCTCCGCATATCACAATTCCTGACTCTGAACATGGATTCTTTTATAGGTATGCACACTCACTGAACTGTATGTTTACTAGCATAACAATTTGAAAATCAATTTGTGAAGTAACTGATAATTGCATTGCAATACAGCAAAGCCTGCTGACAAAATCCATCCGTCTCTAAACTGCATCCTATAAAGTTAGGAAACAATTTATTAGTTTTACTGTAAAAAGAGCACTTAATTTTCAAGTTAAATTGTATTCCTGAGTTATTTTTCCACTGCCTAACTTTTAATAATTCAATGTACACTTTGTGTGATTCTTACCACATTTTCAACTTTAAGGAAAAGAGATTTTGAATTAAGTATCACTATGGGCACCTACAGAGTTACAGATCTATTTATGAATGATTAACTTAGTAAAAAGAGTTTTCATAAATCACTTGTCAATCTCTCACCTGATTTATATAAATGAAAGCCACCTACCCTTAGCTGTGCACGTAGTTTTGGTATCTCCTTCACCTTTTCTTCAAATTCATCATTTTGATTTGTTAATTTAACTAGCTCTTCTGCCATTATTGATCGAGTTCTTTCAAGGTTTCCAATTTCCAGCTAAGGTAACAGGCATTTAACAGTTAGAGCTTTGTGCTGAGAGTGACCTACTAAGTTACTAACTTTGTTTTTCATTTAAAAAAAAAAAAAATCAGAATGATTGATCTTGGAATTCAATTTATTATACAGAGCAGTGATACTCAAACCTCAATGGTTCAGGAATCAAAATAGCGATCAACATTACCCAAAAGAGAGACAGTGCTGCAAAGAGCCACAGGAGACACATTAAAGATCCACTTGCAGCTTGCAAGCCTCAGTCTGAGTATCACTGATATAGACAGTACCAAGTGAATGTCAGATTTATAAAGTAAGAAAATACTATAGTATAGGTAAGACAGTATTTGCTGTGGGGTAAGGTGTCAATTTAAAGAGCTCTTTCATACATAAAAATTGAAGCTCAAGGTTAATTTGCTAAACTGAGTGCATACACCTTAAACATGGAAAAACACGTTATTCAAGTTTAAGACAGGTTTACGACACACAACTACATGTTTAAGTGGTTTCTTTATTTTCCAACCTGCATGTCACATAAGTTCACATTAGTATTCCTTACGCTTAAACTTCAGTTAAGTCTCGGGGATTTTCACTCCCAGATCAGTAGAAATTAGAAGCAATCAAATCAGGTAAACAGAGATAGACGGGGGAGGAATTTTGATATACTGCCTTTAAAGCATCTTCAATTAAGTACCCTATGAAACACCATTCAACACAAACGCCTCACCTTTTTCTTCACCTTTCCCTGGAACCCTGATCAATGTTGAGATAGCCAGGTAGAGTCTACTTGATCCACCTCATCCAAAACCTAGGTAATGAATGCTTACATCTCTTGTGATGGCCCATCATGACTTTAACAGAACTGCCTGGGGGATGGGTAGGGAGGAGTGTCCCTACATCAGTGCAAGACAAAACCATTGTTTGCACATCCAGACCCTACACAGCTATCAGTAAAATAAACTTTGTAAAACAAAGCCAGTAAAGTTAAATCACGTTCATCTTTCTACTCATGACACACACAATAAACTTTAAAGTGATTCTCACAGTACCTGTAGGTGAGAAATCTCTCCTTCCTTCAGTTTTAACTGCGACTGCAGGTTTTCAATTATACTTGACCCTGCTCCCATCCTTACAGCATCATAAAGGTTGCTCCCACTTGTAGACATTGACCCAAATGAATGATCATGAGGATCATCCTACAAATAAAAAGTTAACCAACTGTAAGATCAGACACTGAGAGACTTTAGCACTAGAAGCAAGAGCCTACTGATTCAATATGAACAGCAAAGGAAGACCGCCATCATTAGAGTCAAAAGTTTCAATGCTTCAAATATATTCCTTCCAAACAAAAGCTCATTTTGAATAGCTAAACAAAGTTTAAGATAACTCCTTATTTGCTTGCTGTCATGTCACCTTTACCACTTCCATTTGGCTAGCATAGATATCTTTATTCTCCCAGATAAATTATCAGAGGCAACAGCCTTTGCACAGATTGCATCAAGACAGTGGCAGTGTCTCATGAGTGAGCGGTGCACTAAAACTAGAATCACTGGATTAACAGTCAGTCAAGTCAACTTTAAGATATAGTGTCCACTTATTTTATAAAGCACCGTGGAATGAATTACATGAATAGCACTTGAAGTTTATATTCTCCACATTACTGTACTACATTTTTTTTAAACGTACTCTCAGGCACCCTCCTTCAAATGCTATGCAAATCTAGATGTTTCGTAGGTATGTTTAAGAAATCAGAATAGCTGAAATCACTTTTTTCAATGCAGTTATTAGCTAGATAAAATTAACATGCCAATAAAACTATTTGAAGACACCAACACGATTCATTACAAACACACACAAGGTAGCAAAATGGTTGATCAATTGATAAATGATACATTACCTGAGAGAGGAAGGATGCCTGAAGCCCTGCCATATCAACTCCACTTATAGAGCTTGAGCGTGACAGTGTTGGAGTACTCGAAACTGTTTCCATTGCTGATAAGGTAAATGACTTACGCTCCTTTGAAAAATACAACAGCTAGTTAAGAGAAAGTGAATACAAGGAACAAAGATTGTTGAGGCAGAGGACGATGATAAACAGACCTTTTCGCATATAAGGGGGGCTCTTTTTTCACTCCCAAACGTAGAGCACAAATTCATTTTTTCCATATATTAACTGAAGTTTAAACAGTGAAGTGGATTTAAAAGTGTCACTAGTACATCTATCCCAAGTTCAACTCCTTAGAAAAGACTAAGTCAATGGTGGGAAACCTGCGGCCCGTCAAGGTAATCCGCTGGCGGGCCGCGGGACAGTTTGTTTACATTGACCAGCCCGCAGCTCCCATTGGCCGGAAACGGCGAATCACGGCCACCGGGAGCTGCGGGCGGCCGTGCCTGCAGATGGTCAATGTAAACGAACTGTCTGGCGGCCCACCAGCAGATTACCCTGACGGGCCGCAGGTTTGCCACCATTGCCTTAGGCTTTCCTGGGTATGCAGAAACAGAAGTTACTACTTACTGCAAAGAGAAGTGTTCTTTCAGTAGCCACACTGCATAATGCTGACCTAAGACCACAAAAGTATGTGAGCCCTAGAGACAATTAAGTGTTTTGCTGAGCTCATGTGCCTCACAGGAATGACACCTGAACAAAAAAGTAGGTTCTTCCCTGGATGAAGGACAGTGAAGAGATTTTTTAAAAAGTGTTACAATGCCCAAATTCAGGATCTCTGAGGCTAAATTCTGTTCCTGATGAGTTTTTCTAAATAAGCTGATTTCGTCTGAGTCAGCAACTGAAGACATGCTGACTTCAGAAGGCTGAAGTAAATAGCTTTGAACAGGACTTTGATTTCAGAACTGCAGCAACTAGGAGATTAACAGTGAGGACAGAGCTGTGTTAGAATATCAACTGCTGACTGGTAGTGACTGAAAGCTGTTGCCAATTGATGGGGATTTGGTAACCTATGCTAAACAAAGTGGAGTCCGGGCCTATAGACCAGTATCCATACCACACAGACACATCACAACTGGAATTAACCAACACCTTTCTGGTAGTCTCAGCAGAGGGAACAGTTTTTCAGTGTCCCCAGACACAATGTCATGCCCCTCAAGGTAAGGACAAAGGCACACCGGTGCAACAGTGTGGATCAACTTATGCTGCCACTGTCCATGTTTCATTTATTCTATAGCTAAGTACAGGAATTATTTAGGACTGTCAATACAGTGCCTTTCACACTAGCATTGAATTCACAGGAAAAGACAGATGTGGAGAAGTTCCAGATACTTAGTTTCATGGTAGTCCCATGCTAGATCCTTGTAATTCTTGTTTGTTGTTTATGAGACATTTTAGCGTTCGAGACTTGCTCGGTCACCCTGTGACCCAATAAGATTTTGAAAATACATGAATTAACATTAAAGCAAATTTCAATACCTTTTCCTTTGCTGTTTCTTGTACAAAAATTGCTTTCTTTTTTTCTTGTTCAACTTTCATTTTCTCCATTTCTAACTGAGTAGCTAACAGTGTCTAGAAGGAGGAAATGTGGATTTTTAGTCCCTTGCAAACTCAGAATTTTATGAAGCAGCAATACAATATCAAATTAACCAATACCTTTTCTTTCTTTGCTTCATCAAGAGTTTTCACATACTCCTCTTTCAGGTTTTCTAATTCAACCTCATACCTATATTGAAAAGAAAGGTAATGTAATTTTATTAAAGACAAATAGAAACATGAAGAGTAGATTAAGGTTCACACAAAGAAAAATAAAGTACTGAAACTGACAAAAGCATAATGCACAATATTTGTTTTCTATACAAATATATATCTAAGCGTAATATCTAGCAGCATCAGGATCAGAATTGATCTGTATTACCAAATGGAGAACTACAACTATTTCTCTATGGTGTTAGAAAAATACCCTCACACTGACTTGTAAGCAGTATGTGGCTACTTGAATGTTTGCTAATCTTAAGAACCCCTGTTGAACTACTACTTATATTTCCATGTAATATCTTCTTAAGCGTCGTTAGTTGTGTGCATGCTGCTTTAATATTCTGGATACTTGGTCTATCATTGCATGAACCAATAACTCTTACATTAAAATTAAAGCAACTTTCAATAACTTATCTATTTCTCATACAAAAATAGTGTAAGCATACTACAGAAGTGGGCATATGACTTCTCAAATTAACACAATGAAACCCAGAAGACAAAACTATCCCAGGTATCAGAATTTCTTAGGACTGGTAGATTGCCTGAGAAGAAACTGCAGTTGACTAGACAGGATGAAGTCTACTGAAAGATCAACAACGTATTTTGATCCTCCCAATGTACCACCAGAATGCTGAAAAAGGAATTTCTTGATATGAACTGGAATCCCAATGCAAGAAAGCACACCTCCCCCCAGGAATAACCCAGGGGATTAAAAAGGAAACAAACACACAGTTTGTCAGAGACATAGTTAAGAGGAAGAATTTCACAAGGGTAATTCATAGTTAATGTTTCTGCTACTGACTTCAGGTTTGCTTCTACAATAGTTTCTGTGCTGAGGCAGAGGTGGGAGGCCTGGATTGGATGTTGGTGGAAATGCATCAGGGCAGATATTCAGAAGGTGGTGGCAGGGAGCCACCAAAAAGCATTAGTCTTCAAGGAACAGGTTTTCTTGTTTTTCTATTATTAAAAGCGGGAATTTGTTTAAGAAAATAGTCGTTGCCACAGTTCAACTTCTTAGCACTTGATAATTATTTGATTTAATTTCTTTTGGAAGAAGATGTTGGATGCTTTCTAATGTCCCAATCCTGCAAGCTGCTCTGTGCAGATGGACCCTTATGCCAGCATGCAGGCTCACAGACTGCAACTGCACAAAGCAGCTTACAAGAGTAGGGCCAAAGAGATCATCACCATGGGTGGCACATGAACTGCCGGCTGGGGGAGGCTAGCCCTCAGCCCCACCCCTTCTGCACCCCTTCCCCAACCACAGCCACCGGCCCCACACCCAGAGCACCGGGAGGGCGGGCAGCATGCGTGAACGCAGCCCCAGCTATGGCCAGAACTGGCTAGGGGACTGGAGCTCCGCATGCAGAGCGTGGGAAGCAGGAGGGGCGGGGGGGGGAGGGGGGGGGTTGGAGGAAAAGCCACATCTGACTGTTTGGGAAGCATAGCCTCCCCAAGCCTATGGTACCTGTCACCCATGAACATTATCTAATATTCTTGTCAAAAGCAAATAAAGTAGGTGAGAGTGACTGGTCATGGGTGAGGTGAGAGATTTAAGGCTCAATGCATAAGACATGCCATTAGGAACCCTAAGGGTACAAGGACAGCCCAGAAGAGCTGAAGTGACCTGAAAGTAGTAGGTATCAGAAACAAAAAGTATCTCTGTATTTGTCTTTCTTCATAAAATTTGTCCAGCAACACCCATCAGTATTTTATATGGTAGTTATCAAATTAATACAAATGAGCAAGTCTTCCTATTCAAACACAAAAACCTGATAGATTCCTATGGAAATGAAAGGAACATACTAAAGAAACATATAAGCCAAGAACTTGACCCAATTCACCTATTGTTTTCATTTTCCAGTTTCTTGAGTCTGGCTCTCTCTGCTTCTAGCTGAGCCTGAAGGCGACTGTTTTCCTGTCTCAAGAGGCTATTCTGTGATTCAGTGGAAGACACTTGGATTTTATTGGAAAGAAGTTCTTCTGTAGCAGCACGTTCTCTCTCAGCTGCTGCTGCCAGAAGGGCTTGAGATTCACCTAATTCACAAGAAAGAGTAAATACACAATCCATTATAAAAAAAACCAACCAACCATTAGCTTTTATGCCAAAATAGTCAGTCAGTCATCCATAACTTAAGACAATTATTTAGGTGTCTAACTGAAATGTTGGCAAATTTGCCAAACATTTTGAAAAATATCTGAATTGCATCTAACATTGTAAAGGTTTATCCTTGTACTATTTCCAGGCTTCAAGAGAAATGTAGTCTTTTCAACAGCATTCAAAATGTGGTAAGCAATTACATCTTGGCATTAGCCATCAGAAGCACGTAATAGCAGGACTAGTAGATACAGCACTGTTTGAGAACTGGTTGGTGGCAGTATGCCTGCCCTCAAACAAGAACATGCAATTGGAGGTAGGGAGGATGCCGGGCAAGGAGAATTTGAGATTCTAGTCTTCAGGAGTAAACAATTAAAGGACTGAAACAGTAAGCTCCAGGAAACATTTATATACTCTATCTGTGGCTTTGGACATTTTATTCCATTGTCATTTTGTTCATCCAAGGGGCAATAGTTTTTCATTACAACCCTCACCGCAGCTGAAATGTATTTGTTTTACAGCCTTGGATAGTGTCACAGTAAATTATACTACCTGAGCCTCAGGTCATGGAATCCAAAAACCACATCTGACAATTCAAGATGTTGATTCATTTCCATTCCCGCCCCTCTCCCAGGCCCACTCCCTTTTTAAAATGCTATATATACACATACAGTGCTTTTCTTGTATATAAATCACTACCACCATACAATCTCAAGTCTTTTACAAATTCAGTAAATCACGCCGCACAGCACCCTGGCAACACACCTAAGTATCATCCTATATTACAGATACACATTTGAACCCAGATTTCCCAACTCGCAGTCTTATGCTTTAGACGCAAGTTTATGCCCTTCTCATTACATTACCGCCATCTAGTGTCTCCCCCACATTCACACTGTACATTGAAGTCTACAAGCTAGACTTACCAAGTCTGTCAGAAAGGTTCTTCTCTAACTTTTCCCAGGAGGAGGTTTGTGCTCCCAGTGTTGCTTGCAGATTTTCGATCTGCCGAAGAAGTGGCCTGGTAGCAGATGTAACACTTTGACTCAGTTCTTGGTTCCGATTCTCTGCTTCTTGGAGTCTCTGAATTATGAATTAGTTAAATGCCATTAAACCTTAACACGGCATGACCAGTTTAAATTTTACCACAAAATTCAGCTAAAAATGTAACTGCAATCCTTATATTTCTACAATAACTACTTTTTAAACTGCTACTTTTTTTTTTTTTTGGTTTTAGTAAAGTTAGAGGAGAATAATACATCAGCAAGAGCTGGAGTGACATTTTTAGACAAGTCATTAGGAAACAGGTCTGGTGTTTAAATTCAAACAGTAGAAGATGATTTAATTGTCAAGGAGCCTTTTTCTGATGGTAGTGTTGTGTTAGTATATAACTGGAGTTTCCAGTATTAAGCAGAAGACAAATCTCATCTAGCAGGCCCTAATTCTTAGCTGACAGCATATTATGGTTTCAATTTTAAAAATGCCATTACTTGAGAAGAAAGAAGAGGACTCCATTCTGGGGCTCAAAAGTTCAAGTTTTGAGTTTTGCCTCTACTAACCACTTCACACCTCAACAGGATCTGCTATCAAGCCCACATTTCCCTCCCGATGCTAACATATTCATTTGGCAATACTCTCTCCACAGGCCCCAGGAAGATGTCACATTTAGACTAATCTCTGGGCCAGGGGTCGGCAACGTTCGGCACGCGGCTCACCAGGGTAAGCACCCTGGCGGGCCGGGCCAGTTTTATTTACCTGCTGATGCGGCAGGTTC